GGTTTCTTGAGGTACACTAGGCTGTGTATAACTCAAAGCCTTCAACACAAAATTTTCAGAGGGCTCAAGGATGTCAATTCCAAATGGAGGAGATAATGGGCGTCCTACAGCTTGAACATGAGCCACACTGAAATATAGAAACAAAATGCATAAATTGAAACAATTAGCATATATTCTTGAATTTTTGTTATTCATGTACCTTCATAGACCAAATGATTCAATATTTGACCAAAAACAAATGAAAATACAGCAACAATGATTTAACAGATAATTAAAACCAAAAATACAAATTAAAATGTTGACATAGTTACATGTATATAAGGTAAACGGTTTCTATCACATAAATATGCAGATAGTATAACAACAAGCATATTTACATAAACACATCATTCATAATATATATAATGAAAAGGTATTCTTATCTTTTTTTGAACAGTAACCCCATTCCCCCACCCTCAAATAAAACCTAGAGGGTTTGATTGCCCATTCATGTCATCAAAATCCCATGGATATCAGGCAAGCAAGAGAGGTTCAAAAATCTAATGGTGCATCTGGCCCACTAAAAGGCTCTAAAACTTTCAAATCCTCAGTCGAATGAATATATACAACTACTATTTGTATAAATGTGTGTCAATACCATATGTAAAATAATCCATCCATTTCTTGTCTTTGGACTCTACCGCGCAGCTCAATCTGCAATATTCCACCAATGCAAAGAATAGGTTCTGGAAGCTTAAAAATCTGCAAACTATCTTCCTGTTAAAGGATAAAATAATTAGTACTGTCCCTGGTTCTGAGAGAATTATCATTTTGCAGATCAAAAACAAGGAAAAAGAATAAGGAACTAATTTCAAGATAAATGAAACTTAACAATAGCATCAAAGGGGGTTTTTAAACTCAACAAAGAGAACCTTTTCAGGTTACAATCAACAAGTGGAAAGGAACCTTTCACTACCAACTGAGAAAGAGTACTCCTTTTCAATCAGTGCTGGGAAATACAAGATTTCATTGTATTAATTCTCATCTTTAATAGCACAACGAAAAGATGAAGTCAATTAAGTGACATGAAAAAACCAATTGAGCTACTTGAACCCACCTGAGCCATTGGAAACTCCTCTGAAGTGTAAGTCCACACAAAATCATCACCCAGAGAATCTGGGAATGATTCATCCATAAAATTGTCTAAGTTGGTTTTGAGATGACCCATTCGGAATAGTACAGATTTTGCAGAATATATAGGCAAACCCAATTGGAAATAAGCTGGACCCAAAATGTAAGGAAATTTACAAGGTAGATAAAAAAGTGAGAAAGTAGCTGAACTTTCAAAAGTTTAGAACACTTACCTCGGAAAGGTTGTATTCTGATTTCAGTAATAACACACAAATCAGCTACCAATTTGTAAGTGAGCATTTCAGGGACTGCAGGGTTACTTTGACCTTTACTTGACCAGTATGAAGGTCTCCATCCCACTCTATCGAATTCTTCCAAAGTGTTATCTATGCTTTCATCTGGATCATTATCAGTGCTGGAAGCCATAATTGCTTCTGTGATGCAGTCTTTTCTTTCAGCAAAAGACATACAACCTCGAGCCAGAAAGGCATAGACTCTGTGCTCTTTCTTCAAAGTTTCCAATTCCATGTTACTAGAGCCAGCTTCCACCCAAGGGTTTCTTGCGATGCAGCAATGTTCAACAACATGATCAACTCTAGATAATTGAGGAAACATCCTCAAGCACAGATTCTTGGCAAGACCGTTATCAATCACTGGAAACCATATACAACCATGCTATTAAGTCATTGCTGTAAATAGTCAAACATATAACCATAAAAGAACTATGGTGCTTATGACCATTACTCTTCTACCAGTGGCAAAAGGCAATTCCATAATCCATAATCCAAGCTAAAATTTCTGAAATTCCATGAAAGAGCAATCAAAGGATTGACACTTTGTTATTTTGCTTATGAAGAACCGTTACCTTCAAAGCACACCACAAATATAATGTCCTCAATGATGGAAAACAGCACAACAGATTACAATGAGTTTCACGGGAACAAAAATACCAACTAATGTAGCAACCAAACATCATACCCAGATGGAACTTTTCCACAAAATTGATGAACAGAACAAGAATTGAGTCCCTGAATATATCAAGTTGTTTCAACTCACCAAAATGTAACCAATCGCGGGAGACAGAAGAGGCACGAACAATATCAGATAGATCGTCCAAACATGTCATAATCTTGAGTGACACGTCGCGATTAAGGTAGTTCAAGAAATCCAGACCAATTTCCATTCTTACAAACGATGCCTACCAACTCGATCAAAATTCTTCTTCTAAACTTGAATTCCTGACACAGTATCAAAACTTTATTTATCAAAAC